ACCTTGTGTAGGTCAGTGAGATTTTGCAGATCAATTCCAGCAATTCTGCTGCACATCTTGACAATCCCCAAGAGTTTGTTTTTGTTCTTACAGGTTAAAATGCCATACCAACAGATAAAAGTAAAGGTTAAAAGAGACAATAAAACACGAATAAAACATTCTCATAAAAGTAGAATTGACATTAAAACCACAGAGCTTCCGATAAAAAWTCATCCTCTAATGAGCCTTCTTACAAAGTGAGTTAACATCGGCATCAAAGTTCAATAATACTAAATACTAATAAATACAAAGTTCAAACTTTCGCAGTAAAAAAGTTTCACATTATCAGAGCATTACATTAAAAATATCTGGATTTGGACACATTTTAAACAGATTAATGTAGCATCAAATAATCAACAAGTTTTATTTTAAGGCTCAGAACTGTCAGAACAAAACATGAAAATCAAACAGTGAAAAAGAAAAAAAAGCTGAACACCGACCCGTGTTGTTTACTCAGTTTTGAGCAATCATGTCAGAAAAATGGCTCCTTGAGCTTCTTTTTTATGAAGTCCACTCATGAAGCTGTGTACCGTCTTCTCTCTCTCTCTSCAGTGGATGACCTCTTCAAGGAAGCAAACATCAGGTCCAACGGAATAATCGACTATGAAGAGTTCACCAAAATGGTGACGTTGCCGCCAGTCGATTATTGAACCCCAGCTTCCAACTTCACTACAATGACTGTGGTAGAAAATTGRTTTTGGACACAATGTGCCTGACAGCTACAACTTGAAGAGATGAAAAGACATGTGCTAAATCAATTTTGAAGGGCTGTTTGAGACTGTAGAGGTCAGAAATGACAAATGAAATGGACGTTTTACAAATGTTATGGTTGGTCGAGRTCACATTGTTCCAGAAAAACTTTGTTTAGGATTATATCATGTCCACCACTGTTATAAATACATCCTCATTTGTTAACACAAGTCATATGTCTGTTTGAGAGTAAGGTTTTATTTTACTAATTTGTATCAGGAACACCTTAAAAATAAAAAGTACTTTTTTTACTTTCAAAGAGAGATCCCAAACACAAAACTGTAATAGAACCACAAAATAATTATTCAAATAAAACTATAAACTAATAATGTTTGAGTTCCTTGTTTAATTATTAATAACTGCAGCAGTCATGGTTAGAATCAGTCTTTACTTGTTGTTTGCCATTATTATCTCTTTATTATTTTTGAGCACAGATCTTTTTTTCTTTGATCATTCAAATATTTTTTGATGACAAATGGCAATGTTTAGTTCATACATGATGATGGTCTGAAATGGAGCCACCATTTAAATCAGGGGTGTCAAACTCATTTTCACTGAGGGCCACATGAGTGTTATGGTGGCCCTCAAAGGGCCAGTTATAAATGACGTCAATGTTTCATGTTTAGCTTCAGCTAAACAAGAAACGCCGCGTACCTCATCTCATTGCTATGGCTGAGTGTAGCTAACAAACAATAACTGAGCTCTACATGGCATTTCCTGCATAGAAACAGTGTTTTAACATGTCTTCTTTTAACTGGTGTTAGCATTTTAAACAAAGTTATGGTACAAGTGTACGACTAACTAAATGTGAAATCAATAATACAGAAATATCCTCAAAGGTAAAAGAGAATTTTACTGCTGAAACATGCAGGAAAAGATGAAAAGGGCTGAAGATCTCTGCTTTACATTACCGTAACATTTGTGCAATTGACAAGAATGGATTTTTAATTCATCTAAATCAAAATTCAAATTAAAGAATGCAAAAGACTTTTTTTAGTGTGTGCATATATATAT